ATCTACAATTTTCATTTAGGAAGTTTTTTCATCCGAGGTCGTTTGAAAAATTCAAATTTTCAAATTTTCAAATTCAAACGTCGTTTTTGCATGAAAAATGATTTCAAATCAAAATGTTGCCAACTACAAAATTTCATAACTTCTCAAGATCTACAAAGTTTATTTTGGTCATTTGTTCATCCGACATAGTGGTAGTAACATTGTTCACAAATCATATATATCTCTCTTCTATTTTCATGAAATTAATATGAGAGATGTATATTTTATGAACAACGTTATTGTCGCTTTGTCAAATAAAGAAATGACCAAAATAAACTTTGTAGATCTTGAGAAGTTATACAACTTTGTAGTTGAAAAGTTTTTCATTTGAATTCATTTAGGACCTCAAAAATTGATTCGAAAAACTGATTTGCCGAGGGCCAAAAAAATACACACGGCAAAATACCTCTTTGCCGAGTGCCAAAACATAGGCACTCGGCAAAATACGGCTTTGCCGAGTGCTAGAAAAAAAGCACTCGGCAAACTGAGAGTAAATTGCTTGTTTGAGGCCCTAAATGAATTCAAATCAAAAAGTGGTCAACTACAAAGTTTCATAACTTTTTGAGATCTACAATTTTCATTTAGTAAGTTTTTCCATCCGAGGTCGTTTGAAAAATTTGAATTTTAAATTTAAGAGATTCAAACATAGTTTTGCATGATAAGATGATTTCAAATCAAAAAGTTGTCAACTACATAGTTTCATAACTTTTGGAGATCTACAATTTTCATTTAGGAAGTTTTTTCATCCGAGGTTGTTTGAAAAATTCAAATTTTAAAATTTTCAAATTCAAACGTCGTTTTTGCATGACAAGATGATTTCAAATCAAAATGTTGCCAACTACAAAATTTCATAACTTATCAAGATCTACAAAGTTTATTTTGGTCATTTGTTCATCCGACATAGTGGTAGTAACATTGTTCATAAATCTTATATATGTATCTTCTACTTTCATGAAACTAATATGAGAGATATGAGAGATGTAGATTTTATGAACAACGTTATTGTCGCTTTGTCAAATGAAGAAATGACCAAAATAAACTTTGTAGATCTTGAGAAGTTATACAACTTTGTAGTTGAAAAGTTTTTCATTTGAATTCATTTAGGGCCTCAAAAATTGCTTCGAAAAAATGATTTGCCGAGGGCAAAAAAAATGCACACGGCAAAAAGCTTCTTTGCCGAGTGCCAAAACAAAGGCACTCGGCAAAATACATCTTTGCCGAGTGCCAGAAAAAAACACTCGGCAAAGACGTATTTTGCCGTGTGTTTTTGTTTACCGAGTGTATTTTATTTGGCACTCGGCAAACACGGTCTTTGCCGAGTGCCCGATAAAATACACTCGGCAAAGCCTCGGCACTCGGCAAATCGCCGGTTTCCGGTAGTGATAGTTCCTGCTTCGTCACTAGTAAGTTCACAGTCCACATGAATCAACACGGTAAGGTGATCGAAGTGCTGATCACCCTAAGCAAATCCACCGACACAAGATTGATGCAAGGTGCAGAATGTGAAAAATAAAAATGCGCACATATCAGAGATGATAACCATGGGTTACAGTACTTGTGCCATCTAACCCAACAAAGCCCAGCCCTCAACAAGAATTAGTGTACAAAGGTTACGCCAAGGTAATTTAATACACTGCACCTCGTAGGGCACATTACATTAGCGATTTGGCAACACAATGAACAAGCACATTAAATCTCTGCGTGACTGAGAGAATAAAAATAAAATATCCGGTTTGAATATCTCAAGTACCAACTTTTTGAGATCCAAAACTTCACCGGGAAGGTATATAAGGTTCTTAAATCTTTTTCACTAGAGGAATTTCACTCCAGAGATTTCGCATTTCACTTGTGATTGTAGTCCTGCATAAAAAACAGCCCAGGAAGAACCGTACATATGAAACTAGAAAAGAGTCATCAGTGGGTACATATGACATTGAGCATGTAAGCTGTATATGTTTGTTGATTTTTTCCCTTGAGAAGCTCAAGTATTTTCCATTAATACTCTGCTCTGTGCGGGAAATGTTTTTTCCTAAGCACATAATATTGTTAATGGTCTTTTGCACAGTGACATCATAGAGCTCTTTTGTTCTGTGACCTTGATTCCTTGATTCCTCCATTGTTCTCTCACAACTTTTCAATTCAAGTTTTAAATATTCCTCACACCAAAGTATGATTATTTTCAAGTGAAAACTACTCAAATTCATGATAAAAACCAGACTGAGGCCTGGGAATGTCTAAAACGGCACTAGAACAGTTTATGAGGAAACATACCAAGGATTCAAGGGACACAGGTCACTCCACAAAAGCCAAGTATGAGTTCATTTTGCAGAAGACTGTTGCTAATATGTTGATCTCAAAAAAAGAACATTTCACCATAGAATAGAGGACTGTCAAATACTTGAGCTTCTGCAATGAAAAAAAAGCAAACATATATATATTAGACAATGCATTCTCCTACCCCATAACTCTTTCCTATTGTCAAGTAACTTATGTACCGCCAGTGAAGGTTAGGATTTTGCAACATTACCACTTGAGCTAGATTTGATCTGAACATTTTATTTATACCCTCACATCCATAGAGATTTGCTAATGTTGCAAGACCACTGGTGTAATGTTCCCTACTAGTACAACATATTAAGTAACCTTGTGGTAACCTATGTACACGGTATTCCTTGTTGATGAACTTTCAGCTTCGCTTGGTTAGATGGAGCAAGTATCAGATGCTCTTTATGAAGAGCAACAATGTTAGGTCCAAGGGTTATCATATTTGATGTTTGTGGATTTTCATATTTCGCCAGCTGCACTTTGCATCTTAGATTTAATTTCAGCGTAATTTTGTGTGGCTGGATTTGTTTAGGGTTGATCAAAAGTTGCAACATGTACTTGATTCTGGTGCACTAGCTCCTAGTATAATTTTGTCTCAAGATATTGTCCTTCATTATTAACTGACATGCATGCAAGTCTTCAAGTATTTTTAAAGTATTATTAACAAACAATTATTAACTGGTCGGTTGGTTGTTGGGCCTGGGCCGCGTCCCCGTGCGATTAAGGCCCAGATTCGCCAGGTAGGTGGGCCTTTTCTTCATTGCTTTCTTAAGTCTGCATTACGCTTTGCGTGTTTGCGCACTTTGATCACATTTTCCACGTTTTTCTCCTATGTGTCCTGTAAAACACTTATTCTCCAATATATGTGGAAATATTTCAATATAAATAACATATGTATGTAAGTTATGCAAGTTCTCCTTTGTTTGTATCTTATTTGGCGGTCAAATTTGACCTTTAAGGACCGCCAGCAGCCTAGTCGATAGGCATGGCCGATTATACAGGTGGTGTAGGTATCCTGGGCCCATATATCCAACACTCTTCGGTTCAAAGTGGGTATACGCACCAACCATCTCCCACAGATCATGTTTACCCTCTGATCCTATCTTTGCTTTGGCACCTAGATCCGCAAGGTTGTTTGCGTTAGCAAAGGAAGGGTAGAAGTTGAAGGTCGGGGAATCATCATCTTTTCTCGTTGCCCTACTATTTTCCCCATAGGAAAACCCAAGGTGATTCTTACCCCTGCTATAGAACATGTGTCTACAATGTTTTTGGAGAATTATTTCATGGGAAAGATCAAGTAGAGGCGAGATGCCGGTGAAAACCATCGAGGCAATTGGTTCCCTTGTGTTCTGAAAAGTTCAGAATTAAGTTCAGAATAGACTGTTTTTGTATATCATGCTAGTAGGGTGCCATAGTTGACAAAAGTTGTTCATAACTTCAGTATCTTTGTGCTCGTCAAATTGCAAGATTTTGTGTGTGCTTCAGGAGTTATGTTTTTCTAAGTGTGGTTGTTGCCATTTTGATGATTTTCTGAATAGTAATTGATCCATTCAGTTTTTTGCCATGTTCAAGGTCAAACTAGTTTTCCTAGTGAATACCAAATTTGAAGAGTTTTTAATCAGCTTTCAAACAGTGTTTAATATGTCGGTATATGTTTAGTAGAAATCTAGTTATGATTATTTTATTTGACTGATGTTATTTTATCATCACAAAAGTTCAGTTTGCGGGCGTGCTTTAGGTACATTAGTGTCTTTACTCTTTAAACTCCAAAAGTGCTAACATCTGAGTTGTAGATAGTGTTGTTTTGTAGCTTCTGGTAAAATTTCATAATTGTTGGACAAGTGGTTTAGTAGATTTCGACATTTAAACAATGACTGTCTGAATTCAGGACAGGTTCCATTGTATGAATTCAACAGAAGTTCAGAATAAAAATAGTTTGTCTTCATGAAAGTTTTAGACCTTGTTTGGAGTTCCTTGAATTACAATTGCTCTTGTAGATTTAAAGATACATAAAAAACATGCAACACTATTACTATTAACCGAACGTGTTTATGGCTTTGGTTTCCATGATGGGTTAGGGCTTAGTAGCGCTTTTTATGACATTCCTTTTATGTTTGTGTGAATGTTTAACTGAGTTTATGTTAATAAATAGGTGGTATTGCTCCAGATCATGACTAGTGCCTTTTGCGTCACTGTTTTGAGGCAACTGAACGTAGCCGTGGCTTTGCTATAGTTTTAATATATTATTGACTTCTACAACTACATCTTAATACACTACACCATTACACACATTTGCCTACATTTATGTGTTTGCAAAAGGTGGGTTTCAACTACATATTATGTGTTGGCAAATGTGTAACTTTTTAACATCAAATTATGTGTCGGCAATAAGGTTATAGGACCACACGTTATTTGTCGGCGTTTTTCTGCTGGCTGAAAAACTGTCGGCGAAAATTTCTAGACTATTTAAGTGTCGGTGTTGCCTAAACGAAACCACGGTACAAGTGTCGGCGAAGGAGTACCCAGGGTGAATGTCATTCCCCGCACAAGCACAGAAAACATCCCACCGACACGGCCTATACACACAAAAAAAAGAAAGTCCCCACGCTCATTGCCCCCAATCGTCCGCCGCCCCCATGCCTGTCAACCCACGCTGCTGCCCCTACCTTTCGCCGCTGGGGATGGTGGCCGGGGGCACCCGCCGTGTGGTTCTCGCCTGTGTAGCAACCTGCACCAGGTATGGGAGCGCCTCCCTCGCCATCGCCGCCTCGCATGGCTGAGTCCGTCGGACGCCACAGCCAATGGCGCGCCACCAACCCTAGCCACCGCGCCCCCTCCCCTCTCCCGCTGCGCCGCCGACGGAGCAGGCCACTCGGGATGGCGGCGGCGGGACCCTCCTCTTGTCTGGTGGAGTGGCGGCACGGGATGACACGGGCCGGCGGGCGTCGCCTCGCCCGAGCCACGTGGGGCTCGACGAGGCCGCCTGGCCGTGACTGCGACGGCGCCAGCCAGAGGCCTGGGCAGGCACAGGGTGGTGGTGACGGCGGCGGGCTTCTCTTCCACTTCTTCCCCTCTGTCGTCCCCTTTCCTCCTCGCTTGGCGGCGCTGACGGGGCTGGCCTGGGCTGCTCCAGGGCCTGGGCTGGCGGATCCGGTGCTCTGGTGGCCGGATCTGTCACCCCCAGGTCAGGGGGCGGCGCCGGCGGTGGCGAGGCAGTGGAGTGGAGAGGGGCCAGCGGTGGAGTGAGTCGTCCACCCATGTCGCACCTTGAGGATGATGCAGTGGCTGTGTCAATCTCACGTAGTAGGTAGCCATAGCAAACGTGGGACCAAGAAGAGGGTCTTCCACGCCCAGCAACGGTGAGGCTATCCCTGATCTGATTTTTTCCCCTTCTGTTCTCAGTAAACGTGATTCCAAGGGAGAAATTGTCTGAGGCTTATTTGACACTATGGTAATAAAACGTGCCTTTCTTTTCATAGGTCAATAGGTTCATATATTTTGAGTTGTGATGTTCATGTATCGAGTACACAACCGTGCTAAAACATTCCAAGATCATTCTAGTTGGTAGGAAACTTAATGGAAATTCATTATATCTGCCCTGCGAGCTTAATTTTTAGGGCTTCCAAACCACCTAGAAATTGGTTACAGATTCTAGATTACTGTTTGGTGATATTGGAACTAGAACTCTAATTTGGCTTGTAGCTCCTCAAGTCATTTGAAGAAACAGTAGTTTAGCAAAGGCTAGATTTTTGTTTGTTGAATCAATTTTGATATCGGAAGATTTGTGCAATTAAAATTTTAAAATGGACAATGTATAGAGTCAGCAGGTTAGTTTAGCTATGCAGGCATGCCATTGCAAACACATAATTGTAGCGAAGCATCAAATTTAACCAAAACATGTACGATAAACTAGCTGTAGCTTACCTATGCCAATGATCATAATATTTCGGTCACTGCAAGCAATATTGAGTTCAAAGGAACTTTCCCAGTTTTCATTTTATAAAATGTCCAGATGTCATATCAATTAAATGAAATGGAGTTGCCATTTCATAATCACAACTTCTCCCATGGTAGCACCACTTAGCACTTTTGTAGTACTTTCCATAATGAAACAGAGCATCTGTCTGCATGACTATTGCTACGTTTTGGTGGTTCTTGTGAGTTCATTTCATAGCAGGAAAATGCAGTACCAACTTTTTTTCAGCGTGGAAGGGTGCTCTTTTTATCAGCATTGTTTCTGAAAGTACTATCCAGACATGGCCTAAGTAGCATACAATTGTTTCCCTTGTACTGCAGTGGGTCAAAGAAACTGGTAGACATAAAAAGCTATGTGAAAAGCTTCTTAAGCAAAAGAAACAACATAATCTTCCAACATTTATACAACCAAAGGTATTCAATTTTCATCTCAGCTTTCAGTTCAAGTGGAATGTCTATGGTAACCATGATCTCAACTTTTGAAGCCCTTGAGAGGTTATATGTCAATGGTAACCATGATCTTTTCATTGTCACAGAGGGAAATTTCCAAATAGGTACAGGAAAGTACAAATGCCTGACATTAGGTGACCTCCAATGATCTTTTGCGCTTTTAGATGACACCCCTTAACTATGTGGTTACTTGGTTGGATTATTGTCTAAAAATTATCTGTGTCTGTTAAATCGTTTACCATGATGATTACAATGAAATGTCAGCCTTGACAGTGTATAAGTAATTTTATTTATTGATTCAGTGTCTATTTTTCAATTTTCTCGAAGGTGACCAACTGAGCTTCTCGGAATTGTTAAGGGGATATGTGGTGAGAATTATTATATTTGTAACCATGTTTCAGAATAGGCACTTTCATCTTAATTACGTATATAATCATAGATATGTATTTGTATTGCAACACGTTTGTACTGTGTTTGAGGCAACACCAGAATTGTAGATTAGATGTGCAAATTTTGGTAAATTGAATTGGTGTCATCAGCTTCTTTTGAAGTATTAGCTTAAAATTATTGTTTATTGATGTGGCTTCATTGTGTCCTGCAATACTATGTGAGGACTTTGTTCAGAGATTTATTATGTTTGTCAATTCTCTAGAAGGTATATGTGAGGACTTTGTTCAGAGATTTATTATGTTTGTCGATTCTCTTGAAGGTATGAGCTTGCATTACTAGAGAACAGACTTTAGAACGATGTTCCAATTTCGCATTAGCCTCGGCATTTTTTGCCGCCGGGACTAAAGGACCCTTTAGTCCCGGTTCGTAATACCAACCAGGACTAAAGGTCCCTGCCTAACGGTCGTCCGAGTGGCAGGGATCTTTAGTCCCGGCTGGTATTACCAACCGGGACTAAAGGTACCTTTAGTCCCGGTTGGTAATACCAGCCGGGACTAAAGGTTTTAGTCTCGGTTTGGGTGATATCCCAGGAATAAATATTAATCTTTAGTCCCAGTTTGGCCACCTAACCGGGACTAATTATGCAGGCCTATACAACGGCTCATTCCATTCAAACTCACTGCCTCTGTTCTTCAGCTTGCTGTTGTTCTTGCTCTCTCCCCCTCCATTGGTGTTGCTCTTTGATTTTGGAGGTAACAAACTTAATCCTCTTATGTTTTATCAGTAGCTTATCTCATTTTGCGATGTAGATGCATGTGTAACTTTATATGTTGGACTTTATTATGATTTTATATGTCATTTTTAGCTCAAAATCACATGATGATTTGCATATATGTTTGGATAAACAAAAGTTAAATTAGTTCATCAAAATCACACCTCGCTTTCGTCCCTCATTGGAGCACGCGCCATCCTCGTCCCCATGACTTACGTGATCTTAGAATTAATTTTTCCATGAAATGAAAAACTTAGAAAATAGTTAGAAAATTGTAGAAAATCCATTACTAGTTGAACTTGCGGACCGTGATCATCTCGGCGAGCATTTTCTCTCTGCCGAAGCGGTAACGGACGTCAAGGAGGAGCTTTGATTCTACGAGGAGAGCGGCAACGGTCGTGGAAGACCGTGTTCCCTTCCTCATAGAATCGGAGCTCTTCCTTGGCCAAGTACGGTGCCGTCCGGTGGAGAAATGCTCGCCGAGATGATCACGTAAGCAAGGTCAACTAGTACGGATGGTTATTTATTGAAACATGTTTTTGAGCTATGTGATTTCTATGTCATTTTTAGCTCAAAATCACATGATGATTTACAATAGTAAAATCACTTGATAGTTTGGTATTTTACTATTATACATAGTACATATTTCATGGTTTAGTTAGATAAATAAATAATTTTAGTTTTGTTTAAATATATTATTTTAGAAAATGTGAAATTTACAGTAGTTTGCAAAAATAAGTATAGAAAGTAGATGACAACTGGTACCGGATCCTCGGCCTCTCGTTCGGTTGCGAAACGACTGAGGCCAGAACTCCCTCTCATTATCTGCGGCAAGTGTAAGTAGAAGATTGTGATGGAGTACCGAGTCAAGAGACAGGGACCCAACAAGGGTCGTGTTTTCTACAAGTGTCCAGATCGCGATGTGAGTTTCTTACGCATTTGATTATTATGGCTAATTGACCTGCTTTTCTTGAATATTTTTGACTAAATATTTTTTGGCTTTAATTTCAGTGGGAGGGCAATGGATGCGATGGTTGGTACTAGGAGGAAGATTATGCTACATACGTGCAGAATTCGGCTGCTGCTGATGAGGCAGTGAGCCAGCAGGAGAAGCTTATTGATATTCAACAGAAGAATGATTTGTCTGTTTTAGTTGCGTACGATCACGAAATAATTATGTTACTGAAGTGCATTGTAGTTTTAGTTTGTTTAGTGATAGTTGGGATTGCTTACGTTGTAGCCAGGCTTAGTTAATTAATCAACCGTGTGTGTCATCTATGTTGTGTAATAAAATACTTAATTATGTTCAAGGTTTTCATAATTTGTCGTGTAATACAGATTATGTCACGCCATTGGATGTACAATGCCGATCGCCGCTCCCAAGACTTTATTGAGGGCTTGCACTATTTCTTAGGTGTGGCCGAGGCAAATAAGCGGGATGGTTTCATGTGCTGTCCATGTGCCCTATGTAAGAATTTAAAGGAATATTCAAGCTCAATGAGTCTTCATTCACATTTGCTTAAGTCAGGTTTCATGTCAAACTATATATGTTGGACTAAGCATGGAGAAAGCGGGGTCATGATGGTAGAAGGTGATGGAGAAGATTTAGACATTGATGACATTATTGCTCAGTATGATGCCTTTGATGATACTACAATGGGGGGAGATGAAGAAGAGGTAGCGGTAGAAGATGATCTCGGTGATGCTCTTGGCAATGCCATTCGTGATGCACAACAAGAATGGGAAAGTGAAAAAGAGAAAGTTAAGTTCGAGCACATGCTTGAGGATCATAGGAAGCTGCTATACCCGACGGCCGAAGAGGGGCAAAAAAAGCTGGGTACAACACTGGAATTGCTACAGTGGAAGACAAAGAATGGTGTATCCGACAAGGTATTTGGGAATTTATTGAACCTCATAAAGAAGATGCTTCCGAAGCCAAATGAATTGCCCACCACTACGTACAAAGCAAAAAAGGTTGTCTGCCCTTTGGGATTAAAAATCCAGAAGATACATGCATGTCCTAATGACTGCATCCTCTACCATGGCAATGAATACGAGAATTTGGATGAATGCCCGGTATATAAAAGCATCATGGTATAAGATCAAAAAGCGATGATCCCGGTGACGCCGAGGGTGAACAACGTCCTATAAAGAAAATCCCTGCCAAGGTTATGTGGTATGCCCCTATAATACCATGCTTAAAACATTTGTTCAGAAATAAAGAGCATGCAAAGTTATTGCGGTGGTATAAAGAAGACCGTAAGGTAGACAATATGCTGAGACACCCAGCTGATGGGTCATAGTGGAGAGCGATAGATGAAATTTCCGAGTTTGCAAATGAGGCTAGAAACTTAAGGTTCTCCTTAAATGCAGATGGTATGAATCCTTTTGGAGAGCGAGCACTAGTCATAGCACTTGGCCGCCATTACTCTATGTATCTACAACCTTCCTCCATGGTTATGCATGAAGCGGAAGTTCATTATGATGCCAATCCTCATCCAAGGTCCGAGGCAACCTGGCAACGATATTGATGTCTATCTGAAGCCATTAGTTGAAGAACTTCTAGTTTTATGGAACAAACCAGTGTACGTTGCGGGATGAGTACAAACAAGAACACTTTGACCTACGAGCAATGTTGTTCGTAACAATCAATGATTGGCCTGCTTTAAGTAATCTTTCAGGTCAGACAAACAAAGGATATAATGCATGCACACATTGTTTTGATGACCTTGACAATATATATTTGAAAAGATGTCGAAAGGTCGTGTACCTTGGCCATCGTCGATTCCTTCCTTTGAATCACCAAGTAAGAAAGAAAGGGAAGCATTTTAAAGGTATGCCGGACCACCCCTAAGAAGCCTCATAACCGAACCGGGAAGATGTACTCATAATGGTCAAGGATGTGAAAGTAGTATTTGGAAAGGGACAAGGCGTTGAATCTGCTCCCAAAAATGCTAAGGGACACGCACCCATGTGGAAGAAGAAGTCCATCTTTTGGGAGCTACCCTATTGGCAAGTCCTAGAGGTCCATAGCGCAATCGACGTGATGCACCGACAAAGAATCTTTGTGTGAACTGTTAGGATTCATGGGTGTGTACGGAAGCCAAAGGATTCACTTGAAGCACACCAGACTTGCGGGGCATGAAAGAACGAGACAACCTTCATCCAGAGAAGACAGATGATGGACGTCATTACTTAAGTCCTGCTAGCTACACGCTTAGCAAAGAAGAGATGGACAACATGTTCGAATGTCTAAGTAGCATCAAGGTCCCATCGGGATTCTCCTCCAATATAAAGGGTATAATAAATGTGCCAGATAAGAAATTCCTACACTTAAAGTCCCACGACTGCCACGTGCTTATGACGCAATTGCTTCCAGTTGCTTTAAGAGGAATTCTACCTCCACATGTACGTCTAGCCACCGTGAAGCTATGTGCATTCCTCAATGCAATTTCGCAGAAGGCAATCAATCCAGTGGAACTAGCTACTCTACAGAATGATGTGGTTCAATGTCTTGTCAGTTTTGAGTTGGTGTTCCCTCCATCCTTCTTTAATATCATGACACACCTCCTAGTTCATTTGGTGAAGGAGATTAGTATTCTTGGACCTGTGTTCTTACATAACATGTTCCCCTTCGAGAGGTTTATGGGAGTCTTGAAGAAATATGTGAAAGTCCGTTCTAAGCCTGAAGGAAGCATCGCCCAGGGCTATGGAACAGAGGAGGTCATTGAGTTCTGTGTTGACTTTATTCCTGACCTTGCCCCGATTGGCGTTCCTGAATCATGACACGAGGGGAGACTCAGTGGTAAAGGAACTTTAGGGAAGAAAATATATATCGGCATGGAAGACGATTATTTCAATAAAGCACACTACACAGTTCTACAGAACTCGTCATTGGTGCATCCGTACATCTAGATACATAAGGAGTTCTTACGATCCAAGTTTCCAGGGAAGACTGAAGCTTGGATTAGGCGTCAGCACATGGAAAGTTTCAGTGGTTGGTTGCGAAAAGAATGTCAAGGCGATGACAATATTGATGAGCAACTGTATTTGTTGGCTAGGCAGCCATCGTGGCATATCCTCATGTACCAAGGGTACGAGATAAATGGGAATACATTTTACACAGTTGCCCAAGATAAAAGGAGCACCAATCAAAATAGTGGTGTTCGCATAGACGACACAGATCCAAATGGGAATATACAAACATATTATGGCCACATAGAAGAGATATGGGAACTAGACTACGCACCTAATTTTAAAGTCCCTTTGTTCCGGTGCCAATGGGTGAAGCTGACCGGAGGAGGGTAACAGTCGACAAAGAATATGGAATGACAACAGTGGACCTCAACAATATTGGGTACAAAGAGGAACCATTCGTCCTTGCTGCCGATGTGAGTCAGGTGTTCTATGTGAAAGACATGTCTACAAAATCAAAGAGAGGAAAAAACGAAGACATCAACTCAATGATCAATGAGCCAAAGCACCACATAATTCTTTCTGGGAAAATAAATATAGTGGGAATTGAAGACAAGTCAGACATGTCAGAA